GAATATAAAAAATGGCCCGAAATTTAAATTTTTGTTTTTAAAGGAAATTTTACATATACCTGTATATATAATTTTTTAGTAAAAAAAACGCAAATGGTCAAAACCGTGATAAAAAAAACACGGAATTACTGTACTGTATTTATTTTTTTAGGAATTACAAGAGGTCCCCGACTTATGAACACCTGCCGATACGAACAGGGTTAAACTTGAAATTTACAGTACTACTGTATTTTATTTACCTGATGACCCTCTTTTTTTTTAGGGGACTTAGGTTAGGAAATAGTGGGATTTTAAACATTGTTTAGTAATTCATGTAAGTCCACAATGTAAACGTGAACAAGATGAATCTCAATAAAACCACACAGGTAAAGGGTAACACTGGAACACCTTAACTTCTATATAAGCCTCTCTCAGTCCCTGTAAATTCAGTTGCCTTTTCCTGTGTGGTTTTATCGAGACTGTTTTGTAAGTACGGTATGCATATAGCATATGTTAAGACTTACGAACATCCTTGGGAACGGAACCCATTCATAACCCGGGTACCCCCTGTATTAAATTTTGGGATTTGAGTTTAATTTTTTTTCCCAGGAAAATCGACATAAAAGTACAAAGTGAAAATTCCAAAATTAAAAGTAAGAAATGACTCCATGTCAGGAGGATTTATAGATTCTTGTATAAAATTTGATTTTGGTGAATTAATTTGTTAGATTTGATAACTTCCACATAGTTGATTGTGTTCACTTGTGCTATTGAGGTAGTATTTTAGGTTTCTCTTCACTTCTTCCTATACAAATAACTTTCCCTACAGGAGTATGAAGCTGTTCTACAAGGAAGATATCACAGATGTTGCCAAACTTCAGGGTTACCGTTTCTGGGGCAGCAACCACACCTTTGCCAATGGAAGTGTTGTTTCCGGCAATGAATGTTATTGTGTCAAACACACTTGTGCCCCCACAGGTGAGTGGGACGCTTGCACCTACTTCCCCAAATGAAAGACACACACACGTGCCCCTAATAATATGATAATTTACACCTGTGACCCCTTGGGTAAATGAATTCATTTTAATCTTTGTAAATTGAACAATTTTGCCTCTTTTCTTTTCATGTAATTGTAGTGTGGAGTTAATTCATCAATCACTTATGACATTTAAAAAAATTTTGTTTTGTTTTTCTTCGTGAAAAAATGATATTTCTGGTATTTTTAACATTTTCTCAAGAAATTATGTTAAATTTTGACAGATTCTGTACGGTAACTCGTGCACATATCTTGGACCTATTGTGATTCCATTCCCAACTGATGACACGCACACCTACAGTATATCCTTACTATTGAAACATTCACCTGTAACATACATCCATAAATGTTCTCACAGGTAATATATATAATAATTAATGCCACACAGATTAAAACACAGATTGCTTTTTTTAATACTCATAAAGATTAACAGGTTATGCCATAAACTATAAATAAGAGCAGTATGTATATCTTTTGGGGGTCTTTCCAGGTCTTGTGAATGCAGAGTCATGTCGTATGGGTGCTCCAGCCTTCGTATCCTTTCCGCACTTCCTTAATGCTGACCCATTCTTGCTGGATGGTGTCAGTGGGCTGGACCCCCAAGAAGGCAAACATTCCTTTATCATTGATATTGTACCGGTAAGGATACAAATTCTTAAGAAATATTTGTATGCAAGTTTACTAGACAGTTAGTGAAACAGTAAGTGTAAAGGGGGTATTATTTTTAATGTAGTTTATTTGTTGGTGGATAGGAGGACAAAATCTGTAGTAAAAAACAGAGAGATTTGAGAAACATAATATGGGAGTTACAGGGGTTTAGGTTTAGGCATGTTTGGTTTTTTTAATTAAGCACAAAATCTTCAGTTCTGGGTTAAGAATTCTGTGAACTCTTAAGAGAGAATCAGAATCAGCCCACAGGGACTCATTCTCTGTGAAAATAAGCTGTTTAGTAAAAACAGGGATACAGGTCATTCCTTGATCCCTGAATTTTTTTTATCTACTGGAATTGTCAAGTAGATGGAAAATCAATTTCAATCGCAAAGTTTTAGCTAGAATTCTCTTTTCCACCTACAATACTGGGAACCTTTGAGTTGCCCCATTTATTCCTTCCTAACCTTACTGGTGGCCACTTGCCCACCATTTAATAACCGTCGCCAATTGGCACAAGCAAATGCCACAGCAAACAATCAAACACAAACAACATCTCGGACTGTACAAATTTGAGGTCCCTTGGCTTTGTTTGTAATAAAACACGGATAAGTTTTTAATAAATACAGTATATTAGGGAAGAGTTAATATAGTACACCTGACCCTTGCTGTATACTATGGTTATGTTCTGCAAAAACCTCGCATAACTCAAATCGCATTAAGTGAATTTTTCATCTTATGGGGAAAATGGGGATGTGTTTCACAACCATTTCTGGAGCTCCCCCAACTTTAATTCTGGTATCACCTTCCAAAAACAAAGAATGATGACCCAAAGTTGCTTGTCCTTCCTGACTCTTTATAGTTGCTGAGATATCAGGAAGCTTAGAGACATTTTCATAAAATATTTTGAATAAGGAATCCACAGATTCAGATGTAGTAGAAAACAAAGAAGACTTAGATCTTACCAATGTTATCCATGGCCTGTTGGGGTCATCCTTACACTCAATGTTATCCAGCAGCTGCATGGCAGTCGACAGCAGCCTGTTTCCACTCATGGTAACCAACACTTTTGCCCCAGATGGAAGTGGTTGCCAAGATGTGGACAGCATGAAGTCAGTCCTAACAGTTTCTTCCTGTTCAAGAGACTGAATACTATGATTAGACCCAGCCTCATCGTCCTGAATTTTTCCAATGGAATATATACATACAGCATCAGAATTCTCTCTTAGGAAGAGGTTGTGGGAAGAGAGAATTCTTTGTAGTCTACATTCCATTGAAACCCACAAAAAAGGCATGGATAATTTACCAAAAATATGGTAAAACACAGCAAATTCAGGATGTCCTCAGCCAGAGGGGTTGGAAAACTGGATGGTAAAATGGAATTTGAGTATCACCGATGAAACAGTTTAGTGAGCAAAATTAATAGGTATGACATAATAAAACTTATGTTGTGTAAAGTTCACTCACAGTAATTAATAATTACTGTGAGTGAACTGGTGGATAATTATTTGCTCATCACTACTGTAAGGAGGCGTATCATATATCCCAACGGGATGAAGAAACTGCACTAGTTGAGACTGTGTGTGAGAAGGACCTAGGTGTGTATGTTGACAATGAGCTGAAGTTCTCGGGCCATTGTGAGAAGAAGGTAAATCAGGCAAATAAATTATTGGGTCTTATAAGAAGGTCGTTCAGATATCTAGACGGTCCGTCCCTTGTAACGATCTTCAGGAGTGAAGTGCTTCCCCATCTAGTCCCCGAGATATGCTAGGGACTGTCAGTTGGTTGAAAATGTTCAAAGGAGGGCCACCAGACTGGTGCCTGCACTTCAGCACCTCAGCTACCCTGAGAGATTGGAGTGCCTGAACTTGCCTAGCTTATACTACAGACGGGCAAGGGGGGACCTAGTTGAGGTGTATAAGCATCTCAGGGGGCACTACTCAGTTGAGTGTCCTTACTTGAAGCTGGCGGACGCTCACCCCACAAGGGGTCACAGCTCAAGATTGAAGAAGCCGCAAGACAGAAAACCGTGAGGGCAAATTTTTTTGGAGTGAGGATTGTAAACTCTTGGAACAATCTACCAGAGAGTGTTGTGATGGCACTGAGTGTGAGCTCTTTCAAGACAAGACTTGACCAACACTGGAGCGGGTTCAGGTACATTCAGGAGCCGGTGCATGCCCAGTATTTGCCAACAGTGCGTGACAGAGACGTGACCGATCGCCCGGGCGGCTAGTGAGCCGATCTTTTGGTGAAGAAGATAAATGAAAAGGAAAAGTAATCAGAGACGTGACCGATCGCCCAAGCGGCTAACAAGCCGATCAGTGGCGAAGAGGATAAAAGTAAAAGTAAAAGTATTACCTGGCAAGCCAGGTTGCTTATCAACAAATTTTAGGGGAACTTTACAGCTTTTACATAAAAATTTACTGAAACATTATGTAAAACAAATTAAACGTGCATCTAACACCAACACTTTTGGTTACATGTGACAGTATGCATTCATTATCTGTGTAATGCCAGAGTCTGCTATCCCCTCGTCCACTTCAGAAAATATAGATTTTGTATATTGTACACTTCAATTGTTAGTTCAGCTGGTTAACACCAACTCCAGCAGTGACACAGTTTAATTCTTTGTTGTCAAAGTGCAGAATTTTTCAATTTATTGGTTTCTTGTAAATTGGATCACATTTTTCCCATAGACTCCCATTATTAGATCTCGGATACAGTCTTACAACGAGAAAACATCTTAAAATGCTAAAGTACATATTTAAATGACAAATTATTTAAAATTATTATATACTAACCAATAATAAACATCAAAGAGTGAATTTCATGTACTGGAGGACTCGGAAATGATGCAGTGTGAGACTGTGAGGCCCAGGCTTGACAAAGGCTTTTAATTTCATAATGATGCACCAACAGTAAGTCTACCACAATTTCCGTACAGCAAATGCATTTTAAGATGTTTTGTTTTCACTGGATTTAATTTTTTATTTGGTTTTATCTGAATAAGAAATGCTAAACTTATTCATTAAACATTTTATTCTTTCCATAGACATCACATCAGACTTTGGGATAATAGACACATTATCGTTCCCATAGTTGAAATATTCTGACAGCATCTTGCCACTGTCTTTTATGTCTAGCTTAGTTAACAACTCTAAATATACATAATGCAAAATTGTATATTTTTTTAGTTTGTTTTTACAAACAGACCAAGCCCAGTACAGTAATCCCTGAGATGTCTGTCTCAATACCTTGGTATCCTCCAATGCTGTGAAAACCAAAACTCGTAACATTGGATTTACTGTACAGTACATAAATCAACACATAGGGCAAAAAATATATAGCTCCATATGTAAACTGGATCTTCATAATTGCCTGTACTGTACTTAGAAAAATAAAGTCTTATGGTGCAATAAAGATACTGTTACTACAGAATGTCTTGAATAACCATAGGATAACAAGAGGTTAGTCTGACACAACTTTGATTTTTAATGAAATCAGAGAACCTTTGTTATTGATGCTTTAAAAAAAATGAAGGGAAGTTTTACCTACAGATGAATTATAAATGTTGTTTTAAATTGTCCTTGATAAGTATTTCATATATACAGAGTATGCTCTAAGTGGACCATAACATATCAGGATCATGAATCTAAGAGAAAACAGTACGGTAATTGTAAATATCAAGGCTCCCTTTTTTTTTTTTTTTTTTTTTTTACTGAACCCTAACCTTATTGTCTATTTCCAATCATTTGCCCATATTACAAGCAAAAACCTAAGTAAGTAATGGATGTGTCTGTGTGTGTGACAGGAACTCGGGGTGCCCATGAAGGTGGCAGCCAGGCTACAGATCAACTTACGTGTACTACCTTACCCACAGCATGGTAAATTTCATATAGATGAGATTGAGTAAGTCCTCTTTTGTTCAATATTTTATTATTTAACATCCTATAGCACTTTAAATTTGTTGTAGCTAATAAGTGAACTAGGCATAAATTAGTTGTATAGTATTATACTGCCAGATTCTGGGGTCACTAATTCTAAGGGGATAACTTACTTTTACAGGGGTATTCTTAATTTTAAGGTCGCTGCCACCAGACCCCCTCTAGACAGTATGTAGCTCGTTAGGTAGCGGGCAGAGTGAACTAGGCATTGGGTTGGGTTTTTCATTGATCAAATCGATAAGGGAAAGAAAGGCGAAACAATAACATGTCTTAACTAATTTATTCCTTCTAAAACATATTGCATTCCGTCCAAATACCAGAAGAGTTGGCCTTCCTCCGAAGAACAACTATGATTTTAGTTACACTGCTCAACAACAGACGTCTTACATTAATTGCGTGTCATCCACATACTTATTGCTCATAACAATCAGTGATCTCCTTACCTCGGTCATCCCTTCTTACAATAACACTCAACACATCAGACTGCTCCACCTGTTTGGAATATAGCGCCTTAGATTATTATACATTATAGCACCATCTCACCTCCTTGTAATACCATCTCACCACACCCTGGTTACACTCCACACCTGCAAGTATGGGACTCCTTGTGATTTCTAGGTACACATATCAGGCACCTCGTTCGCACACCGCCCTCGGTGAGTATAACGAGTGCTCCACCAGTAGTCATACCAGTACTGTTTCTACTCCTGGTAGTATCGGTTGCTCCAAATGACGACCGCGAATCTTCTCGACATATTAGTAGGGGGGTGATAGGCAGGGAACCCACAGGTTCACAGTGGATGGGCATAATGGCGTCCCCGCTCTTCACATGGGAGTAATGGCCGACGTACAGAAAGGCGCTCAGACCGCATGGGACCTGTTTCGGTGAGAAGACGGAGGATACTGAGAAATAATGCCTGGTGGGCCGTTATCACCCACTCTAACACATTACTACTTCACTTTATACATCAGGCAAAGTTTTAAGCTGTAATAACTGCTATATAAGCCTTTTTAGGGTTGGATGTAGCCCGATGGAAGACACTGACCTGTTTCGGTGAGAAGACGGAGGATACTGAGGGCAGTGTCCTGCCGCCTCTCATCGTGTAGGCCTACAGTTTCCAATTTTTAATTTTCACTTTGATTTCCCATGGTTCTCACATGAACACTTTCCTGTTTATTGTGACCTTATGCCTTATAAATACATATCTTAATCCTACATTACATACTAGTACAGCACAGGTTTGACAGTTCCTGGGGAAATTAATTGGGCTATATCATTAACTCAAACCTGCAGTCCGGGTACAAAGGATGCTACCCTGAAACAAAAGCCGAATGTTCATAGAGTGGGTATATCCACTTCACATAAAACTGTAATTAGGGACCCTCCTCTCACACATTGCACACAGACATAAGATTCTATTTTCACTGTACTTGTCGTGGGTATACATCACACGAGATAACAAGGTGTATTAAGTTCACACCGATGCATACAAGATATTTCCTTTCAAGTATAGGTTCTTGGTCACTTCCAACACCTCACATAGTTCTGGTACATTTATCCTTTTTCCAGATCATTGTTCTCATGTATTTTCATCTGATATCTGCAGAAGTTATGTTCACTAAACATTCACAGACGTAAATAGTATGACCTTCAAACCACGATCTACACTTAGCCCGGATAGTACACTAGCTCGGATCAATTGGACTCTCACAACCATCCTATAGATACAGTGGGGTATGCTATAACGAACGGATCCTACTACGAATATTCCTATAACGAACGGTTTTACCTATAAAATTGAGAATGCTATAACGAACGAAACTCCTACAACGAACATTATTAAAAAAAAAAATTTCTAATTGTTTTTTTATTACAAATATTAATGATATTCTTTATTTCAGGGGTTTAGATGCATATTTATGCACTTTTTTACAATTTTTACAATTTTATATTATATTTTTCAGTGTTAAGTGGTTGTATTTGGGGGCCTGGAACGGATTAATCCTATAACGAACGAATGCTATAACGAACAATGTTCTAGAACCAGTTAGATTCGTTATAGCATACCCCACTGTACCTTGAGTTATCCTTAATGCTACGAGTACATACAATTAATATTATATACCCGTAGTTGGGTGCAATTCATCAAATAATTCCTTAATATTCATTAGTTGAGTTATTCCTTATCAATGTTTCCCCTTTTCTGAGATTCTACAAGCGCAGTGGATTTGAATGTTATGTAGCGTAATATGAATTAAAGGGGGTTTTTAGGAATGACAATGATGTGTGCAGTACAGTATTATTAATCAAACTATATCATCTTGTACTTGTTAATATGAACAAAATTTGCAATTTTTTCACAAATTTAATTATGCAAAAATTCATAACTTCATATTCTGATGATAATCATTATTTTGAGAAAAGCATTAGTGCTGGTCCACCGAAAGTTGTTAAACAGTACAGTACTCTGAAATACAGTAGTGCAGTGTCAGGAATTTTGTTTTTTGTGTAGTACTCTGGCTATCTATAAATCTGAAGAACCTGAAAATTAAGTTTTCTTGAAAATTTTCAATATTTGTGGAAGTTTACATCTGTTGGATAAATGCGCTCATTCAATCTATCAGTTTTTTGTGATGTACACTGTACTTTACTGACCATAGAATGTTAAATGATAGGAGAAACAAAACCCTTTTTATAGAATATATACATTAATGATATGTATATGTTTGTTTAATAGCACCAGTGACTTTCCAGTTACTAGAAGAAATGTAAACTTTATATATAAATGGTTGCCTGTGTCATTCATGTAATATGTGGAGGTTCCTGACCTTTTATCTTTTCTTTTTTAGAACAAAGCATTGGAAAAGGAATAGTATCTTGGAAATTTTGATTAATCACTTAATTTTACAATTCTACAACCATACAGTAGCTTCATTTTATTTACCTGAAATAAAGAAAAAATGCATTAATTACATTCTGATCAGTAAGGTACGAGGTAGGGGCACTGAGACCCTTGATGCCAGAGTACATTTGAGTATGGATTTTAAGAAATTATTTGACTTGTGTGCAGAATCATAGGTTACTGTGTTGTAATTAATAGCAAGGTAATCCCAGTGGGAAAAAGATTCTCAACTTGGGAAACACTACAATGCACTTAGATCTGAAGCTGGCACCAACACCCCTTACTGTACCATGTCACTAGTGTCCTCTAAAACAGTCATCCATATCACAAATCTCATAAGTGAAATACACATAGAATACATTTGAAGATCCAGTTAAGGTTATAAATGTGGCATGATTCTGGGTGCGATCAGCAACCAAGGAAATTACTAGCATGCACTTATAATGCTGGGGGCATTGTGCAGTTGTGTACGTACTGAAGATAATCAATACTGTACAGGTTGTTTGGGCATGTGGAGAGAGTGGAGGAGACTTGTTGGGTCAATAGATGCAAGAGTTTAAATGTGGAGGGGAGGAGAGCTAGGAGTAGGCCTAGAATGACATCGGGAGAGGTTATGAGTAATTACCTCAGAGATGAGAACCTAATAAGAGAAGTTGCACAAGACCATGTAGCTTGGAGAGCTGCAATCATGTAATCATAGCTAACACAAGCAAGCAATATACATGTAATGAAAATATTGCAGACTTATTATTATATTGCAGACTTATTATTTTTAAATATTTTCTAATTATTTTTCTTTTGTAGCATACTGAAATCGGTTCCTGATGTGTACCTACCAATGTTGTGGTTTGAAATTCTGGCAGATATCACACAAGATCAAGCAGGTCAGCTGAACACCCTTGTTTATATCCTTCAGTCACCCATCCTCAACACAATCATCTGGTGTGTTCTGCTCTCTCTTGCACTACTGACACTGGTACTGGTGTTAGTTGTCCACTACTGGCGAAACCGAAATCGGTACAACATGGTGAACTCCACACAGTAATGCCTATCACTTTATATTGGCTATGCCAAGAGAGAGATTTTATACTACCTGAGTGAACTTTAAAGAACATCCACTATTATCATAGTTCTCCAGTGCTAATATTACAAACACTGAAATAGCCATGTTTATTACTCAAGAATAATGTTTCTAATATGTTGAGCCCCTTGTTATCTAAGACATGATCTGAAGTTTATAATGTGAGTTTTGGTTGAAGAAACTCTGTGGCCTCATAAGTTACATAAGTTAGAGGAAACTAAACTACTGTATCTGAAAACTTCATGATATGGTCAGAAGAAAGCCATTTGATAAAGCTAGACTACTTTGTCACCAAACTTGTTGTCTGTGCAGTTTGTAATTTTTTTTATTGAAAGCATCATCAAAGTATTACTTTTTATAATGATGATCTAACTTGTGTACAGTACAGTATTATTTTTTTAACACATTTCCCTATTACCAGCCTGCAATGTAGAAGGAAAGGATTTACAATGAGAGATTTATTCTTTATACAGGTTGTACCTCTCTAGTCCGGCAACCTCGGGACCTGACCGGTGCCGGACCATGGAAATTCACCCTTTTCTTGGATAGATAGTGACTTGTGCTTATGCCTGGAAGCACTAGCACCACTTTCTCTGCGTCATGGTCTCTTTGAAGACATATTGAAGGGTTAAATGTCGTATAGTAGCTTCTCAAATTTCGCGAGTTTTTAATTCTTAACGTATTTTATTGGAACACACAAAAAAATAAATAAATAAAAATTTTGACGGCGGAAACTTGAATTTCGACGGGTTTGAATGGCCCGCCAACGATTACAGACAACGTGCATAATCGTGTAAACAGCGACATTTCTCTTATATAAAAGATTCATTATTGTTTATATTTGAATGTCTTTTTATTGAATTAATGTTTATTGTACAAAATGAACAATAAATTCATTAACTGTCATAGGAATGTTAAAACCTACGAGGAAATGACACAACATTGAACAGATGATGATTAAAAACAGTAACTGACTGGTTCTACATACTCAAGCAAGAAGAATATAAGATTGGTTGTGGCTGTATTAAAAATTAATATGGTTGTTTTAAGTAATGTTATTTAATGTTATAAATGGAACAATAGTAGCTACTGACCGTGGTAAAGAAAAAAAAGAGATGCTGTAAATTGTTTATGTACCTGCGATGAAAACATATCGTCATTACTTTACATAAGAATATGAAAGCAACACTTATTTACTGTTCATATATATTTTAATTAATGTTTCTGAATTTGTTTTTATTGAATTAATGTACGTGTGTGCAAAATTAACAATACAATTTATTAATAATACGTGGAATATTAGAGGAGACGAGACCGCTGCCGGCATTATTTATGTTAAAGCTTACGAAACCAGTGACTGATTGATTCTACATATAAAACTGAAGAAAATAAGACCCTGAGTTTAGCTGTAGTAAAATTAATGTAAAAAATGAATATGGTTGCTTGAAGTACCTGTAATGTTATTTAATGTTAATAAATGGAACAATATAAGTAGCTAACCATTAATGGTAAAAAAAAAAGTGAGACTGCTCGTATGTAAGTGCGCACATGTGAAAATATATCGTCATTACTCTACATAAGAATATGAAAGCAACACTTATTTACTGCTCATATATATTGAAGGGTTAAATGTTGTACTCTGTATAGACAAGCAGAGAGAGAGAGAGCAGCCAAACTGCCGGATGTAAACAAACCTTAATTTCCCGCGGCTTTGTTGTTGTTTTTTTTATGGGGATTAGCCCACCCGGGCATAGGTCACTGACCCACATTGGGGCCTGAAGGGCAAAAATTTAATACTCCTGTAATAATAATTGAGAGAAAAAAAAGAAGAAAGAAAGAAAGAGAGGCTGCCTATCTACCTATTGGACAAACTAAAATCGTTCCGGACCACAGAATGCCGGACTAGAGAGGTACAACCTGTACAAGTTAATTATTTACACCAAAAAGGGCATTTTTCAAATTTTGCCAATGAAATTATTACTGCTGTTCACAAACCATATATTGTAGTACTTATGCAGCTCTGGTATCTGATATAATGCTTAAAGGTACCAAATTTTCTTGCATATATTGACTTTTATTCCAACCTCTACTTGATACTAAGGATTTTTCTTATGGTCATTTTAACATTGAGAACTAATATTTTGTAAAAGGTTTGCTTGTTACTTATTGAACCAGTACATTACCTTGGAAGAATACAGTACAGCTCCATTTCTGTAGCATTATTAAGATGCAACCATTTAATCGGCACCCCCCCATCCCTATACAGTAAGTCCCCATTGAACGAATCCCCACTATAATTAAAGCAAGTTTTTACTACCCATTTTCTGATTAATGGAAGAATGTTTCACTATTACAAAAGGTAAGTAAATACAGCTGCTGCTGCTACCACCACCACCACCACCACAACTGCATTGCCAGCCACCTCTCCTCCATCAGCTGCCACCACCACCACACAGCACTGTCACAGTGCCTCAAGTGAAGAGGTAGATGATCCTGTCCCTGGCTGTATTTGAAGATGTCGTTAATTTGGCAGGATTAAACTGTGCAAGTCCACACCCTGGGAACTAGGGTGGTTATAGGGCGGGCGGGTCGTGTTGCGTCTCTGTAACAAAGCGTGTTCGGCATTCGGGCCTTCGATGTAGAGCGGCAGAAATTGGACAGTGATTACATAAGATCGTCAAGATCGTCTTAGTGAGGTGAAAGTGTAAATCGATGTAGGACTTTTCATGCTAGACACGATTGTATTTTTGAAAACTCAATTTCCACCGAGTTGGAGGTACAGCCAGGGTCACAGGCCTATAACCACACAATCACTGCCACATGACAAAGCTTTTATTTTATTTTATTTTTTAGGGTGTTGTGGTCATGGCTGTGATAAAGGCCAACCAGGGAGTGTAGTACTGTGCCTTCAGTTAAATCAGTTCATAGTTGTCATCAGTGAATGCAGAAGAGACTAAAATAACTTAAAGTGAATACATATTGGCAATCGAGCTGGTAAGGACAACTGCCAGCCTATTCGTGTCATAGGTGCCACAGAGACTTTAAATTTTATTTTGTTTGTGTGCTTTCTCAAGGACTGAATCTGTGTTTATAATACACCATTCACAGGGAGATACAGTGTACACAGTGATAGTTCATAGTGTCATCAGTGACCGCTGAAGTTGTAAATAACTTAAAGTGAGCGCTCACTAGCAAGCAAGCTGGAAAGGCACCGTGCCAGCTGAAACCAAGTCGTGTCATAGGTGCCACAGAGACTTTAAATTTTATTTTGATTGTGTGCTTTCTCAAGGACTGAAACTGTGCCTACAATACACCATTCACAGGGAGATACAGTGTACGCAGTCGCAGACGACAACTCTATAGGCAACAGAGAGTAGCTAAGTACTTTTTCTCTCTTTATTTTTTTGAAATAGGTGTAGATTTATACACAGTCTGCACCCACCCCCCCCACAACAACAACAACCATGAGTTTGATATGTGATTACTGCAGGGAGACGTCGGATATGGAGGATACAGGCCTAACTAATGCAACGTTTAGGAAGTTACTAACTGCCGTAAAGCATGATGGCTGTTGCTGGTATTGCTCTGGCTGCATAGTCAAGGTGAATGAAGCGATTGCAATCCATAAGGGAACGAGTTCTCTAGGGACGAAAATAGATGAAGCAGGAGCCCTGCTGGTTGACAAACTGGAGCAAGTTGAGAAAGAGATCCTTGCCAAGACTGAGGAAGTAGCTGATAGAATGGAGGTGGTTGCTAAGAGGAGTTATGCTGACGTATTAGGAGGGCCACGGAGGGGGGCGGAGAGTAATGCAGAATCAGTACAGGTTCTACAGCAGATTGGGACTCTGAAAAAGTGTGCCGAAGAAATGAAAATTAACGCACCGACTGTTAGGGGAGAGGAGGAACACCAGGAACGGCTCCAGCGCAGGAACAATGTAATAGTTTTTGGAGTCCCAGAGAGCCAGGCAGAGGGAACTGTGAGTAAGGAAACACACGACAAGGTGCTGTTTCAAAATATTTGCACAGAGGTTCTGAAGATTCCAGCAACCTCTCAGGATGTGAGGAGACTGGGACAAAAGCAGGGGGCTAAGCCTCGCCCCCTCAGGATCACACTAGGGAATGAGGAGGAGAAATGGCAAGTTATTCGGCAGGCAAAAAACTTAGCAAGGAGCGAGGCATTTCGGGATGTATTTATTCACCCAGACCGAACGGTAATGCAGAGGGAACAGCACAAGAAGCTCCTGCAGGACTTGAAGCAGAAGAGGGAGGAGTCGAGGAGGAACGGGGACAGGTGCACATGGGTTATACTCAGGGGGAGGGTAGTGGAAACAAGTGTGCCGACACAGGGCCAGGGGGCAGCAGTGCACCCTCCACCCACTCAACCCCCCACCCGGGAGGCGGCACCAGCTCAGCCTACCGGACAGGAGGGAACGAGCGCCGTGTAAACAATGACATTTTTAACCACACCCTGCAAAATACAGTGTACTTAGCAAATGCTGGATATGACTCATTTACGAACCTAACTCAAGAATCCTGCAGGAGGGGTGTGGTTATCTACGCTAGGCAAGACCTTAGAGCCAGCCAGGCGAGGGTACAGGGAGAGGATGTTTTTGAAGAGTCCAAGTGGTGTAAAATTAAATTAAAGGGAGGGGACTTACTTATCGTCGGGTGTATCTACAGATCCCCGAACTGTGGCCCACTAAATCAAAGGAACGTAAGAACCTTAATAAACAATGCGGCGATGCTCAACCCCAGCCACCTCCTTATCATGGGGGACTTTAACTATGGCGACATCGACTGGAGAAACGAGTCAACCCCGAATGACTTGAATAATCCTGCTACTCTTTTTGTAGAAACTCTGAGAGATAATTTTCTGTTCCAACATGTGAGAGACCCGACACATTACAGAGGGGAGCAAACACCCAAGCCACTTGACCTCATCATAACAAACAAGGAGGGTATGGTGGCCAAACTGGAACACCTTGCCCCCAGTTGGCACCAGTCACCATACAGTGTTGTCATTCAGATTTAGGGGTATCAACAGCTGACATTAGGTAGAACATAGGCACTACGCTGAATATCATAACTAGTAAAATGACCCATTTGATCGATAAATATATACCCAAGACCAAGCCCAGTGCTTCTAGGAATACGAGGGGATCCCTACACATGAACCATGCGGCGGTCGACAAAATTAAGAAAACCCAGAAATTCAAGACGTGGGTTGGGTCAAACGATGAGCAAGACAGGAGGATGTATGCAAGAGCCAGAAACCAAGCAAAGATAGAGTGTAGGAGGGCTGAAAAGAGGTTCAGAGGCTGGTTGCACGGTCAAGTCAAACCCAAAAGGCGTTTTACCGCTATGCAAAGTCGAAATTGAAAACGCGAGTAGGAGTATCAGACCTGAGGCTTGAAGATGGTAGTTACGCAGATTCTGACCAGGATAAAGCTGAGGCATTGAACAGCTTCCTTTCCTCAGTGTTCACAAGAGAGGATGCAACTAACCTTCCTGCGTTTGAGGACAGACGGTTCGACACAGCACTGACCCACATTGTGTTCACAGAAGAGGGTATTAGAAATAAACTGTCCAG